TCAACTACTCAATCTCACATGTACTTAACTTTTGAAGCAACAAATACGAGGAAATCAAATAGTAGGAAGAGAAAAAGGAAAATGTACCACTTCCAATATCAACCACCAATGGTTGAGCTGGATTACAGTAGGCAGACTTCCAGTCGATCCCAAATGGATATGCCTGCACAAAGCATGAAAGGAACAATGCCCAAGAACATCATCATAAAAAGCTGAGCACATTAATGTCTTCGAAACCTTCAGGCAAGAATAGGTAGGATAGATCTCTTAACTACTTAAGTGAGGATATTATTAACCCAAGACATTAGTTTTTATCAAATCGCAAGAATTGATGGGCCTGTAAAATTATATTCCTTAACACCATCCAAGGAAAAATGATGGACTATGATGGTTGCAAAATACTCCCCTCAATGCAAACAGATGTACTCTTTTCCATGGTCTCATCTAGGAAAATCCTGATTTTAGTTTTTGATTACTACAGCAAAAAATAAATAGTGAAGTTGACAGAACATACTCTATCTAAGGCCATAACCCCGGGAAGCTTTCTTCCTTTGAAAAATTCCCATAGAACTGAAGCATTTTCAATCATGTCATTAACCAAGACACACTTTGATTCCATCACCATTGCTTGGCATGCCATATTCCCCACCACAGTGATATCACAATTTCTTTGCCTTAGTTCATTAAGTGCTTGAGCCAATTTAGATGCTCCGTCTGCACATTGACCTGAGAACTTAAATTTCACTGGACCAATCCACAGAATTTTCTGTAATACAAGGAAAAAAACTCAGTTAAGTCTGATAGTAATCAACAATGAGCTGCCAATTAAAAGCAAAATGCAACATACACGAGCAGAATTCCACAAATAATGGCCTTTTGAAACAGAAATGTCGTCAATTGATAAAAAAAAAGTCCACTATGAATTATTTACTTCATAAAAACTATAAAAGAAAAAAGAAAAATTTATACAAACTCTGGCTCATAATTAGTAAATTGAACAAAAAAAAAAACAGAACTTCTATGCCTTGATTCTCAATGCAACACCAATGAAAGTAAGTGGGTATAAAGAGGTAAGATATTGTAAAATGAACAGAGCCAAATAGATAGAAATATTATGTGTCAAAATTTACCATCTCCAGATAGATGAATTAAAATTCTTTTCATTATAGTAAATGAAAGTTATAGCTAATGAATCACCTATACACTCCACTAGTAAGCTCTCATCAATTAACAAGTGTTGAATATAAACAAAAAAACATGGAGTTTGGATCAGCTAAAAACAATGGATGCTTAGCAACAACTCCTTTTTACCTTGCATTTCACTAGTAAAGAGTTTAATTCATTCAATGACCGAGGACCAAGATCAACAGGTAGCCAACCTAAAATATAAGGAACATAAGATATTTCAATCGCATAATTTATTACATCTAAGAATGGTCAATAATAACAATTTATAAATGTGGAGTCATCAAACATACAAATTTAAACAAGCTGCTTTGATTGTGGTAACATTTGAAATAATACTACCACGGAAGGATGCAGCAGACATATCAATTCTATATTATAGTGATGGATTTTTCTTCTTATATATATATATATCTATATAGCTTTCTCATGTAATATGCGGCCACTAGAATAACTGAAAGAACAATGAATTAAGTCAATATGGGAAATTTAAAGAGGAAGATAGTTTCAAATATTAACTCTAACTCCTTGAAGGCAGTGTAAAACTGCGACAACTATAGCACTTTTGATGAAGTTTTTGATAATTGCAAAAAGAACTGCTGACAATCTAAATTTCAAAAGTAGCAGGTTGAGGAATAAATTAGAAGAATATAGAGGGAGGAAACCAATTTACCCAACCAAATATAAATTCAAGAGCTTGGATATTAAATCATTGAAAGGAAGGACATACATGAAGCCAAAAAATGTAATAATTGTGGGTAGAATCTCACCATCCAAAATATTATGAGAAGGAAATATGCCCATTTTCTCTGGAAGATGCTCATTCATGCACCAAAAATCCATGGGATGTAGAATGGGAATGTTCCTATCATGTGCAATTTGGATTATATCTAAAGCTGCTTTATACGCCCCAGGTTCTACCAGATATGAAGGAACAGAAAGTCCCAAAGCATGCATTATTTGGAATGACATCATCCCGACAAAGACCACTCCATCACATCTGGAAACTAAAAAATGCAATGCAGCTGCTTTGTCATAAAGATTACCCCCTCCAATCTGCATCAGATAAGAGAATTCTAGCAATAAGTGAAGAGCCAAAGGAAACATGCAAAAGTCAATATTCACTTAAAGAGGGGGAAGCAACTTTGTTAAACTAATGAAGCTAAATGAAAGATATCTGTAGCAGTGGAGACGTACAATTGCAACATATGGTCTTTTGTTAGTTCTAGCAACCTTCTTCAGCTGACAAAGGCTCTCTTCAAAGTGAAAACCAGCTATACAAGCAGAACAAAAGCGAGCAATACCAACTGTTGATGCAAGAATTTTATGAGACTGCGAAAAGGAGTCGTTAACAAAAATATCAACTCCTAATGATAATAGTTCAGCAAACTTTGAATTATTGGCAACTTCCTCTTTGCACTCTGAAAGGTTCTCAAGAAGGAATATATCTGCTTTCTTCAGGACTTCCATTTTCAACAACACAGCAGAATAATCGCATTTAATGGTAACAACTCTGTGTTGGATAACTGATGATATCATGTCTGGAACAAAGAGATTGTCATGAATTATTTCTGAAGCTTTTTACAACCATATTGGACTGGTCTTACAATGTGAAGCGATCTCTTTGAAGTGCTCTAGGAATGATACCTGCAACAGTCTCAGCATCATGAAGCTGTGAATTAGTTTTCTTCCTCCAGTCACTCACAAGAATTATTTTTGCTCCAGCTTCATGTAAATATTTAATCGTGAAAACTGCACTTGACACTGATTGAGAGCTCTGGTCCTGTTCTTCTTCCCTAAGTAAATTGGTGCTATCAAATCTGACCATGACCACTTTTCCCACCAGCTCCTCCTTAGGAAATTTTCTAAGAGTTTGTACATGTGGGAAAGGCTCCATTTCTCCTTCATCACAACAATTAGCCTAAGAACAAAACCCAATTGAGAGATACAATTAAATATCTCAGCCAACCAACAAGAAAAAACCATTTTTAAGGAATATTACCATTTTTAAGGAATAATTAGCCAGACTAAGCAGACACATCATACAGATATAAATTAAGGAGTCCTGTGTTTTGTCTATCATGGGCATTGAAGCTGCTTCAACTAAAAGCTCAAGCAAATGATGGGAAGGCATTTGAACAGGAATTGCAAAAACAGTTCAGTTCAACTTAATGGAGCAAACATTTTCTGTGAAGTTGGAAAGTGGTATACCAACAGGAATGC